TCACCAAGTAAAGCCATGTTTGAATGAGATGACGACTGGATACAAAGCTGGTGAACTGGGAACTGGCACAGATTAAGTACTGGTTCTAGGAGAGGGGCAGAAGACATGAAACACCCACCTATGTACTTAAATTCACATTTTCTCTCCCGCACTACCCTCCCTTGAAGGTTTCACAAGATGCCAATGCCCAAGAAGGATCATCATGCTGAAACCGGCAGGGCACAGCACACCCCGCTCCAGCCTCCCTGGCCACGGGGCCGCAGGCAAGCACGAATGCATGCATCAGCTACACAAAGCAGTTACCTGCCCATCACCAAGAGCCTGGTGCAGTTTCTCCCTCGGCTGGCTACACTAGCAAGTACTTTAGTTTTAAATGGAGCCAGAATTGTATGTTAGCCCTATAAAATATTGAACCACATACAGCAGCAGATATGAAATTACAGAAACAAACCACAGTTTTATTTAGAAATTCATTTCTATACCCCTTCAATCCATCTCCTTCACCAGACAGAAAGTTTCTCTATCACTGAATTCTGGTCTACTACCTCCAGTTGATTTTCTCATTATGTTGCTCTGGAAAAAGACACTTCCTAATCCTGGAAAAGTTTAAATTTACTCTTAAAAATGGGAATACAGGAATTTTAAAGTTAAAAAAAAGTCTGTTCTAAAAGTATTTTTCACAAATATATATATTTAAATATTAAAATATGCTACCTAGGACTTTATAAAATGGCTTTTGAAAAGACAGTAGAGGCACAAAGAAGCCATCTACTATCCTCCAAGTTGGAAATAAGGTGCCACGAGGGTGCCTAAGAAAGAGGCAGGCAATCTCTGTCTGATGCAACAAGAGGCACCAGTAGCAACACACAAGTAGGTCACTGGGAACTGCGATCAGAACCAACTTTAACCTTTTAGGGACTGCTAGTAAAAGAAAAAGTGAAGCACAAAATATAAGCACTAGAATCCATCACTTTGTACGAGGAAGAAAATAAAGTTTATGATCTTATTCCTTCCAAGTACCCACTGTGTCATTCACTTCAGGTACCTGGAAGATGACAAGTAGTGCAACTTACTACTCTCACTATGAGAGACTTTACCCAGCATCTGCTCACTAGAGACTTGAAGTGACTACAAACAGGGAGAAATCTGGGGAAAACATGCATGTCCTAATGAGAAAGGGCTGTCTGTAGCAAGCAGGTGTTGAAGTACCGCACGGAAGGCTTCTCAGCTGCAGCACAACGCAGCTTCCGCAACACCCAAGGAAACGCTAGGCTCCAGGATCAATGGCATCTCTGAAATTGGGGGCTTCCCCTCCCTTAGCCGGTGACAGACTTTGGTAAGCTGAAAGTTCATTTACAGGATGATTTTGACCTACTTAAATAACAAAATCTTGAAATGTTTAGACTGGCATTTGGGAAAATGACTACAATTTAATATAGGGCATGACACTAGTGTTATAACTCCTTACAGGATTAAGCAGTGATTTAAAAAAAAAAAACAACTCAATACATCATCTAAATGGAGCCCAGGACTTGAGCTTAATCAGCAAAATAGTCAATTTAAGAGAGAAAGGATATAGCCCAAAAATCTAATTTTATAAGTCAGGTACTTCAAACTAAGACAAAACAAAAACCCCTAAAGCCCCAAATGCTCTGGTTTTAATCCATGGTCTTATCAACTTTTACACTGAGAAGAATCTCAGTCCCAGCTGGAAGTGGCCTGGGTCCTTGTGTGGAAGGTGCTTACTTAGCTAAAACAGCACATACATTTCAAGGCCATTTCATTTGGATACTGCCAAACCAAGATTCCGATAACACTCTGAAATCTGCGGAGGCTGTTTGCAAAAACATGGAATTATTTGCTTCTCTCATAAAAATAAAATCAGTGTAATGTGATGGGAAATATCTGTGCTGCGCTTAGAATAAAGTAAAACAAACAAAGAGCATGGTTACTGGCGGTGGCGGTCCTGAGCCTTGCCAGTTGCCAGCAGGCTTCACTTGCCATCACTACAATCAACACCTCCACACAGCTGCATTCTGAACTAGAAAGCATAAAGTGAGAGTTCTATTTCACTGTTCAATCTGAATCATTATTGCTCTTGGCCGAGGAGTTACAAAATAAAAACACCCTGTGTGCTATCACATCCTATCAGGCATAAACGACACTGGAAGATAAAAATAGGGGTAGACAAAATAAGCAACAACTTAAATTTGATGTTTTTAGCTGAAAGCCTATGGGAACATGCTTGGTTATAAACAATTCTCACAGTAACATTCACCACAAAATAGGGCTTCCCTGGCTCTGTGTTGTTCCACTGCCTCCGAAAAGTTGGTTTCTATACATTCTTCTCTCAGTAACTTTCAAAATCTCAACATATTATAAGCAACACATCTTGTGTTATAAGTTGTGATGAAAATCACATTTGCTACCTTTTGGTAAATTTGGGTTTCTTCCCAATGTGAAGGTAACTAGTTCTCCCAATTAATAACCAGAAAATTGTTTTTCCTTCCCTTGGATTTATGTTTCAGTTATAACTTCGTATTTTGCAAATAAGTGAGTAAAACATAAAAGTTCCAAATTCTCTTATTCATCAGTGCAAAAATGTCAGTGAGCATACTGTAGTTCTAACGCTTCATTCTGTGAGCTGCATTAATACAGAATTTACACACAGTAATGTATTTTTCAGGGATATAAAGGTGAAAGTGATTAAAACATGATCAGAGTGTCTTCATAATAAAAGTAAAAAAAAATAGAAAACTGGTTTCTATGGAGATCAGGTCAAGGAGAACAGATAAAGGACTGAGAGATTTGACTCCATGTCCAACGGCTCACAGGGCCACATGGAGCCCGGGAGAGCCTGGCTCCACGGTTAGAAGACAACTGAATCCCACACGACTGAGTTTATCAGAATGCTGGGCAGTCGCTTCACCTGGTGAAGTGTGCGCACAGAGTGGAAGCCTTCCTTCCCTGCTTCCCACCTCAAGATCAAAGGCAGGTACCACACGCTGGACCCTCACTGCTGTCAGTCAGAAGGTAAATGTATGACGGGCATGACACTGAAAATGTTGCCTCACTGACATCGAAAACTTCAAACTGGCAATGTAACTACATGTGGAACTAATTATTTAGAGATCAGCAAATCAAAATGAAAAAAACCCACTTAAATAAATTTGTGATACTCTCCATTTGCATCCATATACAGAAAACTTAGGGTGAAAACCCAAGTATTAATCCTTTTGTTTCTGAATTAGAATTACTGACACGATAGCTGTGTCTAATATCTATTTATTTAGGTATGTTATGTGTTAGGTATGTTATTTATGAATAAAATGATTGGCCACAGGAGCTACAATATGCAGTGTCACTGGTGAACATTTCATCTACTTCTAAAATACATCACACCTAACTGGCAGTTAAACTGAAAATAAAATTTTTCTTATAGAAAATGCATCTTTTTAAAAAGGTAATTTAGGGGTCCGGCGGCATGGCCCAGCAGCTAAAGTCCTCGCCTTGAATGCCCTGGGATCCCATATGGGCGCTGGTTCTAATCCCGGGCAGCCCCACTTCCCATCCAGCTCCCTGCTTGTGGCCTGGGAAAGCAGTCGAGGATGGCCCAGAGCTTTGGGACCCTGTACCTGTGTGGGAGACCTGGAGGAGGTTCCAGGTTCCCGGCTTCGGATCGGCATAGCATCGGCCGTTGCGCTTACTTGGGGAATGAATCATTGGATGGAAGATCTTCCTCTCTCTCTCTCCTCCTCTCTGGATATCTGACTTTATAACAAAAATAAAATATTCTTTTTTAAAAAAAGGTAATTTAACTTGCTTTCTAAAATTTAAGCCCTTTAAATATTACAGTTTATCCTTTTGGGTTTTAAAGAGACAGCTAAGCTTAACTATTCTAAAGAGTAATATTTTAAGGTTTGGTTATACAGTTAACTTTTAATGGGATAATGTAACTGGCTCTCATCTCTTTGCTGTGTTTCCCCCACTAATAAAAATGATACATCGGGCCTGGTGGCGTGGCCTAGCGGCTAAAGTCCTTGCCCTGAACGCACCGGGATCCCATATGGGCGCCGGTTCTAATCCTGGCAGCTCCACCTCTCATCTAGCTCCCTGCTTGTGGCCTGGGAAAGCAGTCAAGGGCTGCCCAAAGCCTTGGGTCCCTGCACCCATGTGGGAGACCGGGAAGAGGCTCCTGGCTTCGGATCAGCATAGCATTGGCCATTGCGGTCACTTGGGGAGTAAACCGTTGGATGGAAGATCTTCCTGTCTTGTCTCTCCTCCTCTCTGGATATCTGACTTTGTAATAAATTAAAAAAAAAAAAAGAGAGAGAGTCCTTCCTTAAAAAAAAAATGATATATCTAGGTATTCCTCTTTTAAATAAATTTAAATGTTACTTTTTAAATTTTCCAACTAATCTTGTAAATCTGTGTATTTTACTATCACCGATAAGGACCTAAGGTTTGTGTTTGGGAGATGTGTTAAGAACATGATCAGAACAGCTCAGAGCTGCCAGGCCGCGCAGCGTTCCCCCAGGCGCACACTCCTCGGGACAGGAGACCGGCTGTGACATCCTCAAACAGTAAACCTTGCCAAACTCACACACCTCCTTGTTCTTAAAAAGAAACAGAAACAAAAACAAGAACAAACCTCTTGGAACTAAGAGCAATAATGATTCTTAAGCATACAACTGACCTATTTGTCATGCCAACTAAGGATTTTACTTCCCAGTTGAGACACAGCAGTGCCAAAATAAGTATCGTAGTGTGTTGAGAATAGCTCAGCCCTGGTGTCCAAGAAGTACAGGTGGTAGAAGCCCATCACCACACTGACTCAGCACACATCCATGTTGAGGAGGAAATGGGTAAGAAACAGGTTCACGACTCATCTGAATAACTGCGGAGGACAGCAGACTAGGCAGAGATACAAAGAACCCTAACGTAAGATTTCTTTTTCAATGAGCTTACTTTTGCTTATTTTAAAATTTTTGGTGAAAAAAAAAAGCCTAAATTACATAATCAATGAAAAGAAAAAAATGAAGAAAGTCACTATAAAGAACAGCATTTTGTTTCTCTTCCCTAACCTAATCTAATGCTTTGCTTTCTTGATTATTAAGCTTTGGGTACATATACAGAACAAACGTGATTCAAATATCTACTCACGAACTCACTCATATTTAGGATTGGGGCAGAGATGCTTTAATAGCATCCGATGAAAAATATGCTTCAATCCAGAGCATCTGGTAAACTTTAGCTAGAAAATCAGGAAGTTTCCTTTTTTGCCAGCAAAAAAAAAAAAAATCGATACCCATTAATTTAGTTTTTAGTTGTTAGTATAAATAATTTTCTTCTTTCCCAGAATGATGAGTCATAGATATTCATTTTATAGCTTTTTCTTATCTTTTACATTATTGCTTACATTCTGTAAAAACTATAATAACTGCTTTTAACAAACTTGGCAATGTCTAAAAATATTTTGGAACAAGGACAATATGTCACGGTCATATGGGATTTTGTAAACAATCTTAGTTAAGAATGTAGCTCAACAGAGAATCATCTTGTTCAAAAAACACATTAAAAACATCCCTGCCAATACATAAGCCTATATATAAAATATAGAATATCTCCAATATTTTTACTTTATATGGTAGCAGTCAGTATAGTAAGGGAAAGTATTGATGATGGGGCAAGGGGAAAACTGATTTGGATGGTGATCCATTTAGTCAGGCAATAACATTCAAACACCAGAAGAGTATTAGTTTTAGTCAGCAAAGCAGGAATAGAACAGTTCCTGTGAAGCTGGGCTTTACCTACTTCACCCTCCAGTCCTGGCCATTTCATCCACAGCTTGACTACATGCAGGCACGATTCTCTGCCATTTGAGTGACACAGTAAGAGTGTAACGAATGCCTTCTCTATCCTATTACCAACCTTTCATCATAAAAAATACAACAGAACTGACAAAGATTTAACAAAAGAGTATGCTGGATTTCAGAAGTATTTATCCTAATAATTTTAAAGACAGCTTACCATAAATACTTCGAAATCATCAGGCTTTACAAAATATTGTGCAGCATCCTGTGTGTAGGAGTAAACATCTACTCAGGCCATTTGTCAGTTTAGTAATTTGTTTCTCATATGCCCTTTCATCTCGGAAGGTTAATGATCATCTCATTTTTCCTGTACCTAATGGTCTACCATTACCCTACTTCTAACAATGGAAGAAGACAGTGGTATATTTTGTAAAGTCAACCGCTTTTCTGAAGTATCATAGTTTCTACTGTATTCCAACATTATGTTATAGTGTACTTACAGAAACAATCTCAGTTATGAAAAATATCAGTTGTAGGGCTTACAAAGTAAAAAGGGAAATTCTTCCCAAATTCTATTTTTGTTGAAAAAATTAAATTAAATGTACAAGACCAAGCACAGGCACTTTCCAAAAACCAAAAAAAATGAAGCCAAGTCACAAAATTATTCAATAGTTATAGAAGACAGCTCTGATTTTGGGGGGTCATCTCTGGTTGCCTCAGAACAAGTACTGGTCTTTGGCTGCTCTGGCACCTCTTCCTCCTTTTCTGCCAGCCCATCGAGAGACCCCAAGGGGAAAGTGCTTTCGCAGTTCTGGGTGGAGGAGACCTGTGAAATTACAGGCATTTGAACAGAGGAGTTGCTTTCAAAACCGTGGTCTCCAAGATCATACTGAACAAGGGTTTCTTCTTGCTCCTGGTTTAAGTAGTCCGGTACTAGGAAATCACTAGATAAAAGGCAAAAGATGAAATACAGAGTTACTTTTAAACCATTAACAGATAAACTACAATAAAAAGGTCTGAACTGCAAAACAAGATTGGGATTTTAAATTTCACTAATTCTTCAATGAAGAGAAAACTCAGCAAACTTCAACTTACAAATTTTCCTAAACATGAACTAAAGCCAGTCATAAACACAAGGGTCTCAGCCCCCTAGGACCAAGGCGTAATGCTAATTCCTACTTTCAGTGTTTCTTTGAATACCTACATATCCGTTCTTCTGTGTAGAGGAGTTTTCTCTCTATGAAACACGTGTTAGCAGCATGCTCACTTCAGTCATCTGAATAACTAAATGCTTAACATCCCTTGGATTACACACTAGAAAGTATGTAAACCCTGCTTCATAGTACTAACTTGATGTATGTTAAATAATCAAGTCCTTACCCAAGAATGACTTTATATAACACCTACAACAGAAAGTTGAGAAATATGGAAAAATGACTGATGTGTCCTGCTATCTCATCTGGTAAATTAAAATAAAATAATTATAAACTTCCTTTGAATAAGAATTTGGAAATGAACGCCTTGAGATTAGTTATGTTGGTTTTATTTTTGATCCTAATAGGAAGCATGGGCAGTAAAATACACCAACAATTTGAGAACAATTTGAGAGAATATGTTCTCTGTGTGGTGATATGAGAAAAAAAGTTATTTTTTTAATAATTTTCTTAAAATGTCTATAAGAATTTTTGGAGAGTTAAAACAATAAATTTTAGAGTGATGGTTATTAATAAAAACAATCTGATAATCTGCCAAAGAATTAAAAATGTCTTATGTAATATATCCTACAATGTCTTCTGGTGTTGGAGAAAGGAGTGGGACATACAGGACACTAAACAGGGCACATAAAGATAACAGAAATGGTTAACTGGAATCTATTTTAACCAGCCGCAAGCCCTGTTTACTACAATATGTAACTGAGGTTCAGTAATATGACAACCACACACTCAGAATTAGATGTGATCACATTAAACAAAATGAATGCATGGTCTGCAGGGAAAAAAAAATCTATGCAGAAATAATTTACAATTTATTGAAAAATAAGGTTTTAAAAATAAAAGCAACTTACAGCATAAAGATTCCATTTTTTTAAGTAACCAAAAATTCCTACAGAAGTACAATTCATATAAAATATTTAAAAAAAAAAGACAACAGAATTTTTTAAATCTAGGATCCTTAGAGCCCATCTTGTTGAAAGCTTACACTTTATCTTTCTCTCAGGTCAAGCTTCTTCCTCTGTAAAGTGACATGCTCACTCAACAGCAGTTAGTGGTGGAGCTACACCTAGAACCTGATCTCCTTGGTCACCCTATAAATCAGAAAGGCAACTCTATTATAAACTATTAATATCAAAAGCATGAAGCTCTAAACTGAATATAGGAAAAAAATGTTTGATCTGAGCAATCATATCCATTATAGTAGCACCTGTAGTTTCTTAAAGGAAAATTCTTCATATAGAAAAAAAAAAAAGAACTGGTTGAGATTTTTAGCCACATTCAGAGTATTCAGTATTATTAAGTATTATCTGACATGGTATACTAGCCAATGAGATCTATTTATCTGCTACAGAATTATTTAACAGTATATTTTTTTAAAAATCAAGAGGATAGTCTAGATAGCCTAGTTTTGTAAGAAATACTTTTAATACCAGCTCTAAAATATTTGTAATTTTATATTCTTAGATTCAGCAAAGCTATCAAATTAGAATACGGATCGTGGGATTTTAAAATAATGATTGGCTAGCTGGCAACCTGATTAAAAAACCGCAGCAGGCTGCCCTAAAAGCAGGAAGAGAGTTTAGAAAGCAGTTTTCCTGGTTGGGTTCTCGTTGTGCACCTCACCTGCTCTGGAAGTAGTTTGCTAGCTCTGATGCTTCATGGTTCAGACTCCTCAGGTGCACGATTAAATTTCCAGAGTTGGTGAACATGGCGCCACATGTTTTGCACTCGTAAATCCGAGGCTTGCGGATAATGTGCCGGGAAACCCTCATGTGGTGTTTATATTCCCCGAAGGAAGTGAAAGTGGCACTACATATCTGGCACCGGAAACAGCGTTTACCTTCATGCTTTAGGCGATGCATCTTTAGCGAGTAAGCCCTGGTGAACTTTTTCCCACAGCGGTCACACTGAAATGGTTTAATTCCTATAAAATAAAGCAAAAACAAAGTTATCTAAAAACAAAATCAACTCAAGTGCCATAAATCTCACAAATTTCCCAACTATAATTCAGTAGTAATAATCGAAGACAAAAATTACCAGCAAAATCTATTCTAAATCATCTGTTTTACAGACTTTGAAACAAATGTAAACAGTATTTAGAGCCAAAGCCACCATGTAAAATCATGTGCTATTTCATTTCATTAAAGTAACAGGTTCATACTGAAAAGGCGTAAAAAATGATTACCACCTCCTGTCCACTCCTCCTCTCAAGGAGAAATGTGAGGGAAAAAGTAAAATTCTAACACCTCCTCAATGTTGTGATCATGATATTATTTGATGAACTGGTTCTTGGGGTATTTAGTGTAATACTGATACAAAATTAGTGCATTACAAGGTATACTCATGGGCTCCTTAAATTCATTATCAAAGTTTTTTTGTAAAACAAAATTAAGACCCCGACAAACCTATGTAACCTATGTGTTTAAGAGCCACCGGAAATTGCTGCGAGGACAGAGAGCGCGAGCCTATCCTCAGAACGGGAAAATGAGACGCGACAGCTGAACACAGCAGCAAGAATCTGTTTCTCATTAGGTCAGGGTTATACCCACAAGTATGTGTCACCTCTGTTTCAAATTTGTTCTATCAAAAAATTTATCAAAATCTTTTTCACTAAAAACAAAAACAAGAAACCTCAAAACTGACTAATTAGGGAACAGAGAAATTTAGGAGACAACTGCAATGACAGTAAAACATTTTGAAAATTAATTTTTATTTCAAGAAGTTACCAAGAACACCAGTTGATGTTCTTGTCATCTCACTTGCTTGACCATGTGTTCGTGCTTCTCTGTCTCACTCAGTATTTTAATTTACATGTCACCTCTAAATGTTTTAATATTTTGCATAGCGTTAATGCAAATAATGGCATTTAAAATTTACTGGGGATGGTACTGTGGTGTAGCACGTACAGCTGCCACCTGTGACACTGGAAACCTTTACGGGCATGTGCTGAAGTCCCACCTGGGAAAGCACAGAAAGACGGCTCAAATCCTTGGGCCCCTGCTCTCACATGGGAGCTAGGGAAGAAGCTTCCTGGCTCCAGCCCAGCCCAGCTCTGGCTGCTATGTTCATTTGGGGAATGAACCAGCAGGTGGAAGATCTCTCTCTGACTTTCCCTGCCCACTTTCCCCATCCATGACTTTTTCAAACAATCAGTGAATTTTTTTTTTTAATTTCGGGGTCACCAGGATTAGAACTGGTACCCATATGGGATTCTGAGTGTACAAGGCGAGGACTTTAGCCAGGCCCAGTGAGTAAAAAAATCTTTATTTGACAGAAACACATGCAGAGAGAAAGCTCCCATCTGCTCGCTCACTTCTTGAACACTGCTGGGAGCAGTGGATACAACCCGCGTCTTCCATGTAGGTGGCAGGAATCCAAGCAGCCCATCAAATGCTGCTTCCTAGGGTCTGTACCAGCAAAAAGTTGGAGTGGAATGGAGCCGGTAATGGAAGCCAGACACTGCAGTACGGGATCCAGGAAGCAGAGCCAGCAGCTCACCAGTAGGTCAAATACTCACCACCCCACCTAAGTTTAATCAGAAAACTTATGCCTATGTCCAATGTATTAAGCAAAGTTTCTGACTATTCCAATTAATCAACAGACCTAAGTTAATCTGCTCATATTTGACTATATGTTTTTTATTTTAAACCCCAAACTACCTGTTCTCTATTCTAACTAGGATCCAAAAGAAAATGTTTTAAAGTGCTCACTTGTGTAACAGGGAAGATAACATTACCTGAGTGGATGAGCATGTGCTGTTTTAGGTTCTGAATACGGGTGAATCGCACCCCACAGGTTGGACACTGAAAAGGTCTGTCTGGACCATTTGGACTTGGTCGTTCTGTACTGCTGGTAGAAGGAGCAATGTAGAGTTGGTAGGGATACTGAACATTTTCCAATCTAAAAAACAGACCAAAGAAGGCAACCAGGCTCTGATTTTTAAGTTGAATAAATATTTTTGCAGGTAAGTGCTATATGAACTAAAGAAAAAACACTTAAAAGACTTTTTAAAATAGCTTAACTGTCAGATTACACAAATCCTGTATTTAGCAACAAAAAGAATGCAGCTGGAGACCATTACTTTTAATGAAATAGGCCAGATCCCAAAAGACAAATATCATGTTTTCTTTAATTTGTGATAGCTTATACATGAAATACAAGAAGTAACGTATGCGAATGAAATCGACACCAGGAGATCTGACTACTGTTTACAGCCTTTGTCTACACTCCTGTAGAATAGTGGTCTTTCTACTTCCTGAACTTTTTAGTGGAGGATTATACCTGTGACTACAAAGTAAATTAAAAGTATGCTACTACAAAAACTCAAAGAAAAAATAGAGGAAGAAAGAAGAATGGAAATAGGGAGGGTAATATCATCATGAGCTTACACTATGAAAATGAAATCTGCTGTTATGTAAATAAAACAAAAAATGCTACTGCATAACAAGTGCAGACTTTTTAACGAAGTATGAATATTTACCACAGACCCTCGTCAGTGTAAGTCTGATGAGGATCTGAATTCAGAAGTCTCTTTAGCTCTACACCCCTCTGTCCTGCCTGCTAAAAGCACAATGACAGGATTCAGTTAGCCACATGTATAAACCTCTACACGTGCTATCTTCAGAGTAAGTCTAAACTCCTTTGGAAGGCCTGCAAAAGCACTTACAACCAGAGACCTCTGTCTTTCCAGCCTGTCTCACAGCCTAGGCCAAACAAGCCCTCCAATGTGCCATAATCTCTATCAACACTGTAATTATGTGTATTTAACTTTGTTGCCTACCTTCTTCCACTAGGTAATGCACATTTTATGAAATGTAGCTTAGAAGTCAGACTGTCCTCTGGGAAGCCTTCTTTGACTCATTTGTTGCTTCTGTAGTGGCCTTCCTATACAGACCACAAATGAGAACTCCCTGTGGATTGTTTAGGATTCCCTATTTATTGCTCTATTTCTCCTTCTCTTCCTCCCTTAAAGAAAACTGAATCCCTAGAAAGGACTTCATGTCTCCTCTTTCTCCCAATTATTCAGTATAGCATTTAATAAACTTCCGAAGGGACTGGCACGATGGCATTTTAGGTTAAACCCCCATCTATGGTGCCAGCATCCCATATGGGTACCAGTTTGAATCCCAGCTACTCTACCTCTGATCTACCTACATGCTAATGTGCCTGGGAAAGCAGTGCAAGATGGCCCAAGTCTTTGATTCCTGTACCCACTTGGGATTCCTGAAAGCAGCTGTCTCTAGGCTTTCAACTGGCCTAGCTCTGACCATTGTGGAGATTTGGGAACTGAACCAGTGCATGGAAATCTGTCCCTCTGTACATGCGCCTTTCAAAAAAAATCTTTTTTTTAAAAAAAGATTTTTATTTTTATTATTTTTTTTTATTGGAAAGGCAAATATACAGAGAGGAGAGACAGAGAGGAAGATCTTCCGTCCGATGATTCACTCCCCAAGTGAGCGCAACGGCCGATGCTATGCTGATCCGAAGCCAGGAGCCTCTTCCGGGTCTCCCACGTGGGTGTAGGATCCCAAAGCTCTGGGCCGTCCTCGACTGCTTTCCCAGGCCACAGGCAGGGAGCTGGAACGGAAGCGGGGCTGCCGGGATTAGAACTGGTGCCCATATGGGATCCCGGGCGTGCAAGGCGAGGACCTTAACCACTTGCGCCACCGCGCCGGGCCCAAAAAATCTTTAAAAAGACAAAAGACCTACTAATATTTGAAGTTAAGAAATGCAGAAACACTTGTTTATGCTTTTGGTAATTCACTGAGATGATTGTGGTCTCTCAGACTTAGCTATTCATGAATAATAAACCCGGTTAGAGTCCCTTGAGTCCCTCTTGTTTGTTGACACTTGTTCCAGAGTCTCCTTAAGGAGGCACCAGTCTTTAGGAACTAAGGTCTATGCTCAGGGGTGAGAATCAACGAATCAAGACTATCAAAGCAGAAAGTTAAGTAGGAGGATCCTACTGTGATTGGGTGCTGCTTAGAAAGGCCTCCCTGTACCCAGCTGTAGACAATGGCCTAGGCTGCCTTGTACCTAGGCCAGTGTTACACAGCTGGGAGAAAAGCAGCCAACAGCTGGTGGACATTGTGGGCCTGGTTAATGTTAATTCTGTGTTAACCATACCAGGGTGCCAGCACAATTTCCCATTCTTGGGGGGAGTGGGTAGAGTTTGCACTGTGCCACCATAAATACACACTAGCTGGGACTACCCCAGTACCATTGCAGTCCCCATAAGGGCATGATGGGGATTGTGGGGAGGCACACACTGCTGGAGGCTGGGGGACTGGGGATGGGCTGGAATGGGGCTCACTGAAGCTTATTTGATATATATAAAATTATTTCTGAGGGTTTCCATGGACTGGGTCATTGAACATTCAGATAACTGAGGAGGCTGAGATGGGCTGGATCAGAAGGAGTAATCTGGAGAGCCTCCCTGGGTCAGGCCAAAGCCACGATCTGCATGCACAAGGGGCTGGGGCCAGGCTAAGCTGTAGTACTTGTAGGCACTTGTAAGAGCCATGTCTAGAGGCAGGTTTGGTAGTTCTTTGTGGTCAGGCCAGGCTGCACAGAAGGGTGGGGCACAGAAGGGTGGGGTCTAGTAGCAGACCTGAGGGGTACACAGGGGCTCCCTTATTAGGCTGCAACACTTATTGATACGACTAGGTGTTGAGTATGGGGCAGGCTGAGTCATGCTGTACCAGCTGCAGTGGCTAGACCTGGGCATGGGCCTGGTTGGAGTTCTTGGAGCTCGCCCTGACTAGGCCTCAGCACCCACTGGAACAACTGAGGCTGGATCTGGGAGTCAACTTATTAAGGGATCCTCAGGAATCTCCCTGACCAGGCTGCAGCACCCATAGATACAAGTAAGTACTGGGTCTTGGAGTGGCTGGACCAGGTTGTAGCACCTTCTGGTGTGTGAGAGGTAGGCTGGGCCAGGATATAGTACCTGGCAGTTCACCCAGGAACCAGGCCTGGGTGCTGACTGTGCCAGGCTGGGCTACAGCACGTGCTGGTGCACACAGGCTGAGCCAAGTTATGGTGGGCTGCAGCACTAACATACTGTCTCTCTGTCACACTGCCTTTTTTATTGGAAAGGTAAACATATAGAGAAGGAGACACAGAAAGATCTTCTATCCGCTGGTTCACTTCCCAAGTGGCTGCTAGAGCCAGAGTCGAGTTGATCAAAAGCTGGGAGCCAGGAGTTATTTCTGGGTCTTCCACGTGGGTATGCAGGGTCTCAAGGTCCCAAGGTCCCAAGGCCGTGGGCCATCCTCTACTGATTTCCCAGGCCTGGGGTTCTTGAGGGTCACCCTGAACAGGCTGCAGTATCCGCTGGTGTACGCAAGTCTGGGCTTGGGGGTGGGCTGGGCCAGGCCAAACTGCAGTACGCACTGGCATATTTGAGAGCTAGATCTGGGATCCAATCAGTAGGGTTTTAGGAGTTAGCCTGATGGTTCCATTCCACCAAACCCCAACCTCAGGGAATACCACATGGATATCTGGTCTGGCCTCTGAGCACTTGTTGTGGGACAGAGCCGCCCCTGTTGCTAACTGCATGTAAGGAGAGACAACATAATGGAATACACACAAGACAGGACAATTGTCTTCCGATTCAATGGAAGACCTTGGTGCCTCACCAAAAGAGAGAAGGAGCAGGTTGAACAATGCTACAAGGCCAAAGTCTCCATCAAGTATCTAAGACTATGGACATACCAAAATATATACAGACAGCTGACAAGCATGGGAAGTGGTATCTCACACACAGTGCAATGAAGCCACCAAAACTATCTCAGAACAATCAAGACTATTCAAGTAGCACTTTCAAGACCTTCCTTCTTCCATCAGGGTCCCTGGGACAAATTCAGGGGTCCTTCTCTGTCCCCCGGCACTGATGTGATCTGGCATCAAGGAGTAGTGCACCATCTCTCCCACCCCCTGCAGTCATAGGAGGGAAGACCAGGTGTTTCCCACACCGCTCCCCTCACCACCCCTCCCAGAGACCTGCATGGGTCTATAATCCCCTCACCTATGTTAAGACACTTAAAAACAAACAAACAAACACAAACACACAAACAAAAAAAGCCTCCTTGCCAACTGGCACTACTGTAGTGATTTGAAGGTCAAAAAGGAGCCAACAATGTGAAAGGGAAGAAGTATGTGAAGCAAAAGCCCTTATGTGACAAAAAACAAAACAGAAAGCAACATGTAAATAAGTGTGGTTGTGTTCTAATTAACACTTTAAATTACAAACAGGATGGTGGAGGTTTTAGCTTAGTGGCTAAAGTCCTTGCCTCAAATGTGCCAGGATTCCATATGGGTGTCGGGTCTAATCCCGGCTTCCTATCCAGCTCCCTGCTTGTTGCCTGAGAGAGCAGTTGAGAACAGCCCAAAGCTTTGGGACGCTGCACCACGTGGGAGACCTTGGAAGAGGCTCTGGGCTCCTGGCTTTGGATCAGGTCAGCTCCAGCCGTTGCGGCCACTTGGGGAGTGAATTAGGAGATGGAAAATTATCTTATCTGTCTCTCCTCCTTTCTGTACATCTGACTGTCCAATAAAAATAAATCTTAAAAAAACAAAAACAAAATCCTCAAATAGATGGTGGGCTGGGATTCACCTATAGCACCCAGCCTGTCAACATAGACTACAGTTGTGATCGCTTCTCGGCCTTTTGGCTAGGATCATGTGTAAAAAGTTAAAGTTGTGCTATTACATGTGCTGTCGTATTACGCGTGTATTACAAAAACCACTGGATACGAATTTAAAAAAATATTTGCAATTAAGTAAACTTATCAAATTTATAATAATGGTGATGCTAACTCATTATCTGAAAAGCATACTCAAGTGAGGTCCCAATAAATTTCTTACACCATTACCACAGAAATGCTAGAAATTTAGATTTGTAAACAAAATTTTTCCAAGACTATATGCTATGTTAGTACTAACCGATCGTCGTCATCCACGTGGGCATTCGTGCTAGAAGTGCTCTGAAGTGTTGGTAATCCTTCAGTAACACCTTCATCTACAGAGCCTGTGAATCCGAGAAAGAAAGGACAGCCAAGACGTTAACTGCAAGTCATACATTCAAGCTTCTATGGAGTTCATATTCTGAACTATTAATCAAAAAGTGGTATTCTATGTTTTAAATCAAATATGTATGTGACTTAAAATATGTAAGATAACAGTCATGTTAACATCTTACTTTTTTTTAATATGATACACATTCCAGAAATCTAGCAGAGCAGTCCAAATGTAAACGAAGCGAAAATCCACACAATATGAAACAGTTAACAACCACTTCGGGAAACATGAGCATTACTGCACACACAACTTAGTGTTGTGCTTTGATGTGGCATTTATAAGACAAAGTGACCATCTCCCCATTCACTCTTCCCTGACCAAGTGATTTGTTCAAACATGTCCCTACACTAGGAACTGTTTTTTTTTGTTGCAACAAAGCAGGCACACTCCAGGGCTGCCACGGTACTACACAAAGTGGCAGGGCTGAGTAGCTGTGGACGTGATCACTGATCACCACATGGGGCAGTTCGCCAAGTAGTTACTACCTGGCCTTCAAAGGAAAGCTTGCCAACAACTGTCACAATGTATAAAGTATAGTGCAGTTTATATACATTGGGTCATACAGTATGCACCTGTCTTCTTTCTTTCCTTAACATCACAGACTCACTCACATTGGCACATTGAACAAGTTTATCTGTACTGAGGCATTTATTCATTTCATCTCTGATGGACACTTTCAGGCTATTACAAATAGTGTTGCTGTGAACATTCCTGTACAAATAACAACATACATAGGTGCAAGTTTTTCTCTGGAGCACATGCTTAGAAATGGATTTGCTGGGTCACAGAATGCGTGTCTCTTCGGCTTTATAAACAAACGCTTAACTCTTTTTCCAAAGTGGCTAACCGAGATCTGCATTACCGCCAGCAATTTAACAGCTGTGCTGTTCGGCATCCCAACACGTAGCATTGCTGGAATCACACAATTTTTGTCAACTTGATGGTTGTGTAGAAGTTTTATTCCCTTATTACTAATGATGTTGAATTCCATTTCATGCATTTACTAAGCTTCCTTGTCTGTGAAAAGCCTCTTCGGAGTTGTATCTTTCCATGTTATGTGGCTTGTCTTTCATGGTTTCTTTGGATAATCAACAGTTTTACAATCTGTTCCTCTAGTTTTATTTAAGGAAGGGTACTCAACCTAATGTTTAAGATGCTGCTCAGCACGCCTGCTTCCTTGAAGTGTCTGGGTCAGCTTCCTGTCGTTAGATACCCTAGGAAGCAGCAGGCGATAACTAGTCACTAGCACTTGTCACCCTTGGGGGAGACCTGGAGCAGGTTCTTGGCTTCTAACTTTGCCTAGTTCTGGCTGCTGTGGAAGCATGAACTGTGAAGCAGTGAACAGCTCCATCCTCTAATCTGCGTCAAATACAAAAGAATGTAGTTTTAAAAAGTCTTTCTAAGAAGAATCAATCATCCATTGTAAATCATGAAAATTTATGTTTGTCTTTGGAATTTAAGTCTTTAATCCACCTGGAGTTGATTTCATTAAGCTATCTTTTGATTCTCTTAGTGCCACCGACTGATCAAGTACATATAAGCACGAGTCTGTTTCCAGATTTTTTATAGTTCCATTTGCTTGTCTGTCCTTGTATTAGCTAATTTTTGGATGCCAACACTCTAAAATTCATCCCGATATCCAGGACAGCAGGTCTTCTCACTGGCTCACTTGCTCCCTGAACATTCTGGTTTTTGTTGGTCCTTTGCATTTCTGAACACACTTCTGAATCTACTTGTGAAAAAGAAGTGATAATAATCACTTTTCCCAACTTCTATTTGTTTGAAATTACACAACCTTCCCTCTCTATCCTGTTCCTCTCAACCTGAGAAATTATATACTTACCAAAGCTTAAAGTTAATCAAAACCTTTATTTCCACTAAGATACTAAAAGGTTTTTAGAGATTCATTTACTACTATTCCATTCTGCAATGTGTATGTTATTGTATGATTAAAAAAAAAGATTTATTAACTTTAAAGTAAGAGGAGATCTTCCATCCTCTGGTTCACCCCTCAGATGGCTGCAACTGCCAAGGCTGAGCCAGGCAGAAGCCAGGGGCTTCATCTGGTCTCCCACAGGGTGGCAAGAGCGCAAACAATTGGGTAAACTGTTGCTGCTTTTTCCAGGCCATCAACAGGGAGCTGTTTCTGAACTGGCACTCACATGAATTGATTTTATCTGCTATGTTACAACACTGGTCTCATGTCTGATATTTTAAAAATTTAAAAAATTTTTACTTATTTTTATTATTCTCATTTTATGATACAGTTCCATAGGCCCTGGGATTTCCCTTATCCCCTTCATAAGTCCCTCCCCCATCACTGAGTTCTCCTATATGATAACTATAACATAGTTCTTTATAAACAGTCAAATGCCCATCATAGCAGGCATGGGCAATGGCAGTGAGTTTAGAATCCTAATGTCGGGCCCGGCGCGGTGGCACAAGTGGTTAAGGTCCTCGCCTTGCAGGCCCGAGATCCCATATGGGCGCCGGTTCTAATCCTGGCAGCACCTATCCCCTTCCAGCTCCCTGCCTATGGTCCGGGAAAGCAGTCGAGGACGGCCCAAAGCTTTGGGAACCTGCACCTGCGTGGGAGACCCGGAAGAGGCTCCTGGCTTCGGAACGGCATAGCATCGGCCGTTGTGCTCACTTGGGGAGTGAATCATCGGACAGAAGATCTTCCTCTCTGTCTCTCCTCTCTGTATATTTGCCATTCCAATTAAAAAAAAATCCTAATGTCATATAGTAAACGGTTTCATTCCATCTTTGCCTGGAAGCAGAAATGCATACTACATTGTATCCTCACATCTGGATATGATAGTCTCAATTACACAGTTACGATACATCCCTTAAATGAAAAGCCACAAAACAAAATCAACAACAGGAAAATAGAAATTTACAATGCCATGAAGTTAAATTATATGCTGCTAGATGTGATAGTCTCCTTTACACAGTTACTATACATCCCCTTAATTGAAAAGCCACAAAAAAAATTACGGCAGAAAGAAAAAAAAATCACCACCATGAAGTTAAATAACATGCTACTGAATTGCTAATGTTTCGCTGAAGAATTGAAAATCTAGAACCTTCTTGAAGAAAATGTTGCCACTGTATGATCTATCAGTCACTGAAGAATTTAATCAGAAGAAAGTGCTTTGAAGGGATGAAACTAACAACAAAAAAAAATCAAAGCTCATGAGATACAGTTTCCGCTGATCTTTGTTGGTGAAATGTGCTCTTGTAGGCAACAAATAGATAGGCTTTGTTTTTTAATCCAGTCTACTAATCTATCACATTTGATTGATGAGTTTAAGCCATTTACATTCAGGGTTAATATCAATGGATAGAAATTTGGCCCTGTCATTTTAGGAATGGGTTGTTCATTGATTTAGTCTTCTGTTGTTATTTTACTGGGATGTTTTTCCTGTTTGCCTTTGGTTTTGGTGGGTGCTATTCCTCTTCTCTGTCAAGAGAACATCTTGAAGTATCCTTTGTAGGGCAGAACTGGAAGAGGCATATTCTTTTAACTTTTCTTTACTCTGGAAGAATTTTACTTCATTTCCAAAGACAAAAGAAAGTTTTGCTGAGTACATTCTCCTTGGCCCACAATTTTTTTCTTTGAGAATCTGGAATATGTCACTCCATTCTCTTCTTGCCTGTAGTTTCCTGTGAGAGGTCACCTGTGAGTTTAATTTGGCATTCCTTTATGTCAATTGACTGTTTTCACGTGCACATTTAAGGATCTTTTCCTTATGTTCAATTGAAGAGAGCTTGATGATCATGTGTCTTGGTGAAGATCACTTTCGATCAAGCCTGTTGGGAGTTTTGTGCCCCTCCTGGATGTTGTTTCCCAATTCTTTCTCTAGATTAGGGAAATTTTCCTTGATTATTTCATTAAATATATTTGTAAAACCAGTTTCTCTTTCTGTACATTCTGGGACTCCCATAAGTCATATATTTGGCCTCTTAACAGTGTCTTTCAATTCTTGAATACTTTTTCCAGCTCTGCTTTCATCGTTTTGTTTGCTTCCCCCAATGACAGGAAGTATATTCCAATTTTGAGCTTCTTTCTTCTGCCTTCTTCATTCTATTTTGGAGACTCTCCACTGTTCATAGTTTCTGATATATCAACTTTCATTTGATTCACTGCTGCTATTTTTTGTGTAACATATTCCTTAAATTCCTTGAACTCCTGCTTTATGTGCTTCTCATTGCTGATAAGAAGCTTTATAGCAAATGTTTTGAATTCTTTTTCCCCATTTTTATGTTTTCCTTGATTAACTCTGAGATTGATAAAGACTTTTGCTCCTTTGCAGGGGAGTCTTCAGTAATATTCACTGTACCTTTGTCTATTCTTTTGCTCTTGCTCATTGTACTTCTGGTTATTAGATTCTTCTCCTTGGGGCAGGTTTCTAAGCTGTGTCACCCACAGGTTTACAGCTCAATTTTATTTATTGCATTTGGTACGTGGCTTTTTGTTTGCAGTCACTTGTGCCATTCCCTCTGGCAAGTTCCAGGTCTGGGTTCTTACATTAGGTTTCCACCATGGTCTCTGTAGCCACAGCTTTTATCTCACCACTCTCCACCTCCTGTGATACGATGCTGAGGCTGCACCGCTGTCTGTACAACCTTTCTCCCACTTCCAGTTGGAGCAGTTCCCAGGGTTAGAGACAACAGGTGTCCTACATAGCTAAGTTCTTGGTGATACTGATCTTGCCAGAACCCGTTGACTGTTAGGTTTGTGGGCCACACGGACCTATTTTGACCCTTATGATGCCACAGTCCGTATTATTTTCCTGCAGGACCAGTGCAATCCACTAACTCAGTGAGTTCTAGCTGAGCTCAGTGCAAGCACAGCTCACAGTTGTCCCTGCAGTCTTTGCCACACCATACAAAATGGCGCCTAAAACGCTACTACTAGAGTTCTTCATCTGCTGGCCATCAGATCTG